CTTAGGTTACATGATAATAGATATAATACAATCGTGATTTATGCCTAAACGCGACATGAATAATTAAATTTATTAATTTAGAAAGCCCAACGACGGTTTCTAAGGCTTAGTACTTAATTATATATAACTAAGTAGGTATATTTAAGCGATTAACAATAGCTGATAACATGCTGGTGTTATGTTATAGACATATAGGTATTTGACTATGTGCTTTTGTTTGGCTGTAGAGTACAATTAGCTTAGAGTTAAGCTGTAAGGTTTTCAGTGAAACAATGGATCTTAACTTTACTTTAGTATGTCTTTCCTAGGTTTTAATTCCTGACTTATAACGATACACTGAATATGGGAGTCACAGTATTTCAGACCAAAACGGGTGCCAAATGTTTATTTTGGTTTTGGATATTCGAAAATCACAGACTGAAACCGAAATAGATGGTGGTTCGTGACCTGAACGGAATTTCGAAATTCCTACTTACAGACGTAGTCCAACAAAAAAAATATAAAATGATTAGCAACATGTTCCCGGTGGGGATCGAACCCACAACATTGCAGTAGTATGAATTGTTCCTTAGGTCATTAAATTCACAAAAACGTATCAGTTCATAATACATGTTGAAAAAAGCCGGACTTAGTTTCTTGGGGGTTCTCGGTTGTGTTGCTCTTAACACTCTGTAGAATCACGACGAACGGACAGACAAACATATAACTTTATATTTTTTTTCTGAAGAACATAAATAATTTTTATACTTTTATAGAGATAAAATATATTTTGTTGTATTATTTTTTCATTAGACCAACGTAAAATTTAAGTTTCCTACTATTATTGATTACAGTAAGTAGCGGTTATTTGTACGTTAATTTCGGCAAAAAGTATTGTACTAATATTCTGCTTGATATCCATTATCTTGCTCGCCTATATTCTAATGTGAAGGCGTCAAATAACTCGATGTATTATTGGAAAAGCATGTCTGAAGAGGTAACACGATAAACCCATATGCAAATGTGTAGCCGCCCGCCGCGACAACTAAGGCTGCGGTCTCAGAGCTGGCTCATATTTTCTCATAACATAAGTGCTATACTTTCCGAGAATTGCGACGTTATGCGAGTTTCAAATTTAGCTGGTGTTTCGTGTCATCTTATCCATAACTTTGTCGTTCTCTTCGTTCTTGATTTGATAACTGGTAGTAAATGTAAATTTAGACTTTTTAGTTTTTAACTTGTGTGACCTTCGTAAATAAATTATTTTTAACTTCTACTAACAATCCGATCAAAGCTATATATCTATCCTGTAAGTGTTGATACTAGTCGACTTATTTTAATAGCGATCCGACCTTTCACATGTTTGCAGCAACCGTAATAAAGCATTCAAGAGTGTTGCGTTACCATTAAAAGTGCATTATTTAATGTAATATGTGTATGTAAATAAGTGTTACAATTAAATGTACGCGTTACATATTTTAAATATCCAAAGCCAAAATGGTCGTCAGCGCATCTTGTGAAGATGTTATATGGCTAGGATATTTCGGGTTCAGCTTTTGCTGGAGGCCTATGTCCATTTATGAACGATACGGAAAACAGACGTGAAGTTGCAAGGAATCTTAGAAGTGAAGAAGGTGACAGTAGTTACTGTTTTAATTGCCGCGTCGTGTCAAAGGTGAAACTACAATTAGATTAGGAAATAGTAGTGGCATTTATTATAATGATGTTATAGAACATCTGCTATAAGTGAAATTCAATTCATTCTGAAAATAGATAATCAATTTTAACATAAGGCGACAAAAATATATAAAATTATGTATATTTTCAAAAAGGTTTATGTCTCACCTGTCCTGTAAGTAGTAAAAAAATAAAAACGCGTGTAATACATAGTTATTTTTAATGTAATATATATTTTATCTCTTCTTTAGTTTTTATTTTAAGTTTAGATTCTCTAGGTAAGTTTAGTTAATGTGTGTACATTTAGTTTTTATATTTTTTTCACTTTTATTTTTAAAATTATAAGTATATTTTGTTTCGTCCATCTCGCACATCTCAGTTTTACGTAATCATTATCTTCTATCATCTTGGGTTGCCTGGAAGTGATCGCTCGAGAATGATAAGTTTACCTACATTTAGTAAGTATTTTTTTAACTGTAAAAAAAAAATATTCTCACATATTTTAACCCCCCTAAAAACATTTACGTATTGGTTGGATATCTTCTGGGTATTCTAAAATACGTCATTCTAGTTATCGAGGACTTTTTCTCTCTGACATAATATGGTATATCCAAAACAAAAATAGGACGACAGCGCATCTTGTTTAGATGCTTTAGGCCGGGATATTTCTCCATCCATCAAGTGAACGCCAAGTTGTTTGTCCTTCTCTATCATTAAGAAAAAGAAGGGCTAGTACGCCCTTATACTCATCTCTTCTTACGGTGCATACAAAGCAAAAATCCATACTCACCCGAATGAATGTACAGACAGTGTTCCAGTTCGAATGTACATAAACACGGAGTCATCGTCCGTCCGTCAACAAGTTCGTGATCGAAAGTAAAAGTCACAGCTGCGCTGAGCACGAGGGGACCTATTGCGAATATTTTATATCGTACCTAATATATCGCTTTATATCATAGGTATTACCCATTAGATATTGTATGTGGGAGTGTTTGAGTATGCGTGTATAGAAACGCTACAAGTCGATATATAACGAAATCAGATTGTCAAACTTGGTGTCAGAGCAAATAGTGTAATATATTTTGCTTTTAATCGATTTAAAATATTTCAGATTTGTATGTACTTAATATTTATACTTCCTCGTCTTGCGCAAAACATCTTTAATTTCGTTCAATTCAAGTTCATCGCTCACGCGCAAAATTGTTATACAATGTAACTCTAAATTAAAATCTTCCCAGTTTCAATAAAGCGTGAAAATAATTAATTTTCAATCTTCACCAGATGATTTAACTTAAACGTTTTATATGGAACTCATTGTTAAAGTTTACGTAAAGTAATCAAAGAGTTATGATTTTCGCTTTGAGCGGGGTTGTACTTGAGGCACTCTTGAGAGACTGTGGTTTTGTAATTACGCGTATCTTGTCTATTCACGGCTCGGTACTGTATCGAAATACGGTAAACTGTACACGCTTCTAAGTAAATAGGGCTCATTTTCGATTGGGTCCAGTAACAGTCGTTAATAACTATTTCTCAATTAATATGAACTTATCACGTGATAATTTCAGATTCTTAATTGATTTAACCAATACTTCATGCACTTGTTCTGTTCCCAATGACATTTAATTTACGTCTCTAACTTCTCATGCCCGCAAAAAGAATAAGTAATGAGTATAACAAACTAAAGAGTTTGTTTGTTTAAACACGCTAATCTTCAAAAAAACTGGTTCAAATTACTGATAAAATTTTACTGATTTGTTGGATAGCCCATTTTACCGAGAAAGATTGTATGCTATATAACTTAATGCTGCGACCATTTGTAGCGAGAAACGATGGAAAATGTTGAAAAAACGGGCGAAATATAGCTTTTACAGCTAACGGAAGCTCTAAAAGCTATATTTCGCCCGTTGCGCTGCTAAAGCGGTCAAGAAACCAAAAAATATGTAATAAACAATGATTCATCTTCAAATGATGTAAAAAATGTCCACAAGAGTATATCATGTAAATGTGTTTTAATATTAACTTGCTTGAACCGTTTTAATTGTTTTAATATGTTAGAGTTGTTTGAATGTAATCCAATTAATCTCGCAATCAACAAAACAATGTTTTCTGAATCGGTTAGTAAGTTACACGAACGGTAATTTTATGCTATCGCGGGAATAAGATACATTAACAAATTTAGATTATATTTAGAATTCTCCGAACGACACTTATAATGTAAATAAGTAACGCGAATAAGTTGAACTACCTACTTTTATTCCGAACAATTAAATTATAAAGTATAATTTAATTGTTCGGAATATTAATTTCCTCCACAATTATCTTCTTAGGAAATTTAGGTATCCAATGAAATAATAAATCGATTAGGTAATTCTACTTCTTTCACATTCTCCATAGACTACAGTCAATATGATATATAATTCTATATCGTACTAACTAATAATTTAATTAAATTAAATTGCGTACAATGTTCGGAAGTTTTCTTGGAATAAAATATTATGACCCAGCCAAATTTATCAGCAAGTATTTATTGTACACTGACGGTTAACTTGGGTATGAAATTAATCAAAACCAGTTTGCATCGCTCGAAATTGACCATAGCTGTCTGCAAATTGCGAATAAATGTTTATTGCCGAACATCGATCCAACATTTTTGGTGCGCAATCGACGCTAACGACTTCAAAATTAAAATCCGATATAAATAGTTTTCGTTATCGGTTCGTAAAATCTAGGATCGATTCATATACTTTAATTCCGACACATCATCTTAGTTATGTTAAGACATTAACATTACCAATATTACATATTAATTATTTTTGATTATATGATTTGAAATTATACTACAAATAAAAAACTATCAGCTAAAAATTATAATATATAACAATTAATTATTAAACATAATATTTTTGATGTCAAATTTTTAATCTACAATCAAGTGACATTTGACAGTTGAACTAGAACACAATTGTCATTGAGTATTTCGGTTTGTACTATCTGTGTTCGTACATTGTCGCAGAAAAATTTAAATTCATAGGTCAGAGGGTACCGTAATTATTTATGATTTTACTTACGCAATATGCTCTCTTTATTTATATAGGATACACGTTTCAAATATATTTAAGTATTGTCTAATAGACACAGGTCTTTTTCAGCTCTCAATTATTCATAATCATTTCAGAATACTCACTGTCAAGGTCCCACAAAATTAAATTCAAACAAAATTTTAATTCCTCCGTCATACGCTATCAGTGTTTATCGCTGTGTAATAATTACAATTGCAGATAAGATGTTATGTTTCATTCATTCTCTACGTTCCCTTTTAAAAGTGCGGTCGCATCGTGTCGAAAATGACCGGTATTTTAGCTCAAAATACACTTTCTCGAAGTTTATTACAAAATGTAAGCAATATCGTGAAAAGGCTTTCCTCACATTTTACATATTACCCAGATGAAAGCAAACCCATAGATGGTAAGTCTTGTTTTATTATTTAGCTTAAGGAAAAAATATATTAATATATAATTCTCTCTCTCTTTCTACCTCTTGAACTACAGACCAAAGTAATAATATCTATACTTAACCTATATAAATATGTGTATTTCCAGGACAAACAAATAAAATGAACATGATGCAAGCCATCAACAATGCAATGGATATTACTCTCAAGACTGATTCAAGCTCTGTGTTGTTCGGAGAAGATGTTGCTTTTGGGGGTGTATTTCGTTGTGCTCTCGGGTTACAGGTATTATTAAGAACATAAAGATAGAAGTTTGGTAGACCAATTTAGCCAAGAAACCAGAGGGTTTTATCTTCTGGCTTCAAGCATGTTTATAAATTAATTTTTGATGTTATAAATTTTCTAGACAATAATTTGATTTCTGACATTGTTTGCTAAGAGAATGCACTAAAGATGGATGAATATCTTAATCTAGATCTATATTAGCTGAGCCCTGAATTCCATGCTTATTTGACTGTAATTTCATCATCATCTCAAATTGGAAGTTTTAATATTAGAATATTATTCAATTTTTCTGATGGACCTCCTTGGAAGACCAAGGGACTCCACACACAAATACAAATTACTAAACAAACCCTGTTTAAATTTTGTTCTTGTAATGCAAACATTCTGTGAGTAACTGCTTCAAATAATTTGAAAATATAATGTGGAGTATTAGGTCTGAACCAACAATTTATTTAATTTGTTTGTTATGATAATTACAGGAGAAGTATGGCAAAGATCGAGTATTCAACACACCACTTTGTGAGCAAGGTATAGCTGGGTTTGGAATCGGCATGGCTACCGCTGGTGCTACCGCCATAGCTGAGATACAATTTGCTGATTATATATTTCCTGCTTTTGATCAAGTTAGTATTTGCAAAGGACTTTGTTTTACTCACAAACAACAGAAATCAAGTTCTAAAATGTCTAAATATGTATAATGTTCTAAATATTTGAGGGTTGGAGTTATTGTGAAATAGTTCTTTATATTTCGCTATCATGAAACATGACATCATCAGGAGATGTTGATCATTCCCTGACATAGTGAAGCTTCAATAACCAAGTAGTTTTATTACATAATTCCATTCCACTTAATATATATAATAAGTCAGTTTGTTAGCTTTTGGTTTAACACACAAGTAAAATAAAACATTTCCTATACCATTAAAATATAACTCACCTAAGTAATTATGTACATAGTAAGTAATGAAAAACAAAAATAATACATCAACCATATTGTAGTATTTTCTAAATGTTTTTCATAAATTTCCACAGTTAGTTAACGAAGCGGCTAAATGTCGGTATCGTTCTGGTGGCCAATTCGACTGTGGAGGCTTGACTGTGCGTGCCCCCTGCGGGGCTGTTGGTCACGGAGGTCTTTACCACTCACAAAGCCCTGAAGCCTTCTTTACACATGCACCTGGCCTAAAGGTAAATTGTTTCAGAAATTTGTCAGTTTTTTTGATATATGTACAATAATGGATGAAAATGAAATACCCCACCCATAAACAAGATTTACCTATTTTTGCTTTGGAAATTCAGATAGATACTCCATATTTATTTCTTTTTATAATTATGTGTTTGACCTTTTTCAACTTTATTTAATTCTGAATGAACTTTGTTTAAGTTTATCCACCTTATTTCACTTGGATTGGCACTAATTCTATAATTAGTTTTTATTAATCTTAACAAAATATTTCAGGTCGTAGTTCCTCGAGGTCCGATAGCCGCCAAAGGTCTGCTTTTATCGTGCATCAGAGATAGAGACCCATGCATATTTCTCGAACCTAAGATTCTGTACCGGTCAGCTGCTGAAGAAGTTCCTGTAGATAGCTACGAAATACCGATTGGAAAGGCCCATATCTTGAGAGAAGGTACATTAAATACTTTTTTCCAAAATACTCGATACTATCTATATTATAAAGAGATAACACGTCTATATCGCGTATACTAGTTAGTTGTTTTTTATACATATTTTTTATGATAGAGGAGGACAAACAAGCATGAGCGCAGCGCATCTCAAGGTACTTCATGTTAAAATAAACTCCTTTAAAGCTTTTTTTATCTAATTTTTATCTTTTTTAATTCAGCGGAACATCGCCCATATGAGATATATGAGAGGATGTTTATTGTCTCTTATATCTATTATTATATATTATAATATCTTACGAAATACTTTCAGGAGATGCAGCCACCCTGGTGGCGTGGGGCACCCAAGTGCATGTTTTACTCCAAGTGGCTGACATGGCTTCGGAGAAACTTGGTATAAACTGCGAGGTGATCGACCTCATGTCCATCCTACCCTGGGATGAGGAGACAGTCTGTAATGTGCGTTTTAATTACACATTTTTATATTTCCTTCCTCTACTTACACTTCTCTATTCAATTTTTTATATCAGTATGCAATTCCAGTCAAAATTATTTTTGATAGAATCTGTACAGCCCTAAAAGAATATAGTCATTTTTAATCAAGAAATAATCAATCACGTGAGCGGTTGTACAAATGCGCATCTATCCCCTCTACACTTCGTTCAGCGCTAAACATCCGCGCGGCGACCTATACTCTTGACTAGTTATAATAATGTCTCAATAGATAATTTAAATTGCAGTCAGTGAAGAAGACGGGAAGATGTTTAGTAGCGCACGAGGCACCCCTCACAAGTGGCTTTGGAGCTGAGTTGGCAGCCACTGTTCAGGTGAATAGCACAAATTTAAAAATTTAATGTCAATCATAAAATAAATATTTCAATTTGAGGGAGAGTAAAAATGTATTTATAGAATTATTTTCATTTGTTATAATTGTTTACTAACTCGTTTTAAAGTCGCTATTACCAACAGCCATAGTCGTTTACACAGCTAGGTTTAGAATAGTTATCTATACTAAAAAGTTGATTTGTTTGAACATGCTGATAAATTATTTTTGTTTTGTTGGCATTTATAAATTATAAGCTGAGGAAGTTGAGGTATTTGCATTGCTTTTTTAAGCATCAAAGAAATGTAAAGTCAAGCTTCGCGCAATATATAATAATATTTACTGGCAACAGCTTCAAGCATAGTACTAAAATAATAATATTCCTAGAGTCACTTAAAAGGTGTGATTATGTTAATGTACGTCTATTTCTTTTTCAGGCTGAATGTTTTTTGCACCTAGAAGCTCCAGTGTCCCGAGTGACAGGATGGGACGCCCCCTTTCCCCACGTCTTTGAGCCCTTCTATTTACCAGACACGATGAGGTGTTTCAGCGCTCTACAACAACTTATCAATTACTGAAATAAATTATATTAACCTCTTTCATTGTTTAATTTTCAATATTTACTGAATTAAGTTGCTCCTAAGAATTTGTGATGCTTGTAGAATTAAATAAAACATTTATCTTGTTGCCTAATAAGACTTACTTTTTCAAAGTTAATTCAGTCTGACTTAGCAGGGCCAAGTAAAAATACATTTTCTTATTTAATATTTATTATTATTAAAAGTGAAAATCAATCCATACTAAAGTTACACTAAGTTATTAATATTAAAATGTCAATCTTAAAAATAAAACTCCGTATTATTATTGTTCACTTGTACGAAATAGTGCACATCGAAATGAGAAATACAAAATAATAATAATTAAAAATATAACCTAACTACATTGTAATAATTACGTGTTATAGAACAGTCAATTCAAATAACAAACTAGCCATTTTGACTCTTTAGCTTATCATAGAAGTTTTATTAACATTTTTAAACTCAACTTTGTGATGTCACATATTTACAGAACAATGTCAATGAAATTCAAATAACTCAGCTAAATTTGGGTACGTCTATAGAAATTACAAAAGAACCTGTAAGAAATTCACGCTTTAGGGCACAAATAGTGCCCTGCATGCGGTGAACTCAAGAACTAAGTACTCTTCCTCATCAAATACAACAGCCACACTGGGAGAATTATGCCACTAATAAATAAGTAGGGAGAGCGTCGGTCTTATTCGTCCCATTTGCGTTGGCGCGAAGGTGTCAAATAGGGCCCGGACGACGGGGAGTTGGGGAAACGTTGCATGTACCTCTCGAGGCGCAGATACTTCACGGTAATCAACCGGCCTTCGTACCACCAGCCGTGCAGGCTCTTGTACACTACACCCGCATCTGTGGGAGTCGCGCACTTCACGTACACGCAGCACGAAGCCCTCTCTATGTCGATGTGCAGTATATTGCAATTGTCGCACTTCTCCAAAATCACGTCCTGAATGACCGTTGCGAGGTTCGGATTCGTGTCGTTCTTCTCGAACATGCTGCGGATCTTCAAACACGGGGAAGGGGAAACGGTGAGATTGTTGACGGAGCCCTCCTGGGTTTCGAAAGCCTGTCCCTGCCATGCTGCACTACGCTTCGGGCTGTTGTGCGACGCTATCCACCTCCACACTCTGCAATCTTCCCCGTCGACAGATTGGACTTCCATTCGCACCCTACTTTCGTTTTTCTGGATAAACTTAATGGCGGCATCCCACACTGATGACATTTTCTCCCTATTCTGAGGTGATATTAACGTATCTCTGACGTGATCCACTGATATGTATGGTTCTCCACTGTTTTCGGTCTCCTGTGATATTACGTCTATAATTTGTTCCACCATAGAGTAGATTTCTTCACTCTTTTTCTTCTGATAATTCACATACATTTTGTAACATTTTTGGGCCCCCAACATAGAAACAGCGATTACTCCTATAATAATAAAAGTCGAACCGGCCGAATATAATGTGTTGACAAATAAACAAGACACAGGAGTGGATGGGTCAGACAAAGCTAACGCAAGGAAACCCTTATTGCGTTGTTGTACTACAACATCAGTCGACATGAGTGGAAAATATTCTACATCTTTTGTATACAACGCTTTAAGCTGGACAACATTTATTCCCCACCGAGGGTTGTGTACGAGTAAGACTTGCAGGTTATTTAGGTCAATCCTGCATTGACTGTCATCAATAGCGTCAGCTCTCACCCTAGCAATGTCAAGTATTTCTCTTTCAGTCATATATGGCATAATACCAGGTTTACCACACTTATATGCTGCAGCTCTTGAGGTTAACTCTGGATGTATTACTTTCAATAAATTCTTCGCATAACTAACTTGTTCTTTAGGGACACAGTTAATGCCCGGCCTATTGCCAGGTATATTCAGTTGACATATTGGGAACACACTGTTTTGGTCATCCACTACTGATGTTATATCATTTCTCTTAACTATATACATAAAAAATAGGCAAAAAAAAAAAAAGTGCCACGAGACCAACAAGGGCAAGAGAAACTAAATTATTTTTTAAGAAATTCTTATCATTTGCAGTTTTGTAGTCTGCAACATCAGCCCTTGACACTCCACTGATGTAAGATCGACGAGGAAGCATTGTGCTTCCATTTGTGGCATCCCGGTCTATGAATGAGGTAGGTTTAGGCGGTTCAGCTTTGAGAGCAGACAACCTTCTTGTAAAGTTACTCAAGTATGGAGATTCTACTTCATCAACTGAAGACAAATTTGATTGATAAGTACTCGTGGATGGTGTAAATGATCCTAAAGGTTTATATGAAGACGGTTGATATGTAGCAGTAGAGGGTTGGTAGTTGCTTGTACTAGATGAAAAGGTTGAAGAGAAGTTGCTAGAGGGTCTATCTCCTAAAGTTGATGTCAAACCGAGCCGAGATCTTATCAAATTGAGATGATCTGAAGGTGAGACGGGAGAATAATTAGTAGATAGAGAAGGACGTGAGAAGACTGATGTTTTTGGTGGGCTAGTAGATGTGTCGTGAGTGGGAAGTGTGCTTGAAATATAGTCGCTCGATCTCGAGCTGCTGCGGAAGGGACTCGAAGTCTTCTTCTCAGCATCGACATCACTGTCTGAGCCTGTCTCAAAGTCGTCAACATCATTGGCATAGGTCCGCGTGACCCGACGAGTGGTAACTGTTTCTACTTCTTCGTGAGTTCGAACGGGCGATTTTTCTTCCTCAGACTCTGATCCATCCGAGTCTCGTTTTGGCGATGTCTTTTTGACAGGCGTCCTGCGCGTCTTACTAGTGGCCGGGGGCAACATAGCGCCGCCCGTGGTCGCCCGGCGACCACGTTTCTCCTGAACACTGGTCGTATCAGTGTCGGCTTCCTCGTCACTAGAATAGCGCGCCAGCGAGCGCCTATTCTTAACTTTACTGTCAACACTGTTTCGCGATGTTTTATTGTCTAGCACCATTTTGAGCTTTTTCACGAGCAGTTTTCTCGTCGATGCCGTAATCGGCATCACGGGGAACCCGTGTTCGGCCAGTTTTGTCCGAAGCTCCGCGTCTGACATTGAATCTACTTGATCGGCCATTGTGAAACCTGCAACATCAACACTCACGTTAATAACACAAATCTACCAATAACTAAACAAAATACGAAAACAAATAATAACTCTTTAACCTTTTGTGTTTAATTCGGGCACTTAAATTACGTCAATGTTTCACAAACTAAAAATTAACCGGCGCGTCATTCCTTCCACACGCGTTATGAACGTTACGAAAAATATTGCCATTATGTTGAATCTTAATTTGCCATTCGCGGGCATGGTTTAATATGAAATATATTACTTACTAATTCTAATAAACATTATTAAATAAATAAAAGATTTTTAATTTTATTAAACTTTCTTTTAGAACTAAAATTGAGATTACATAAACTTCATACTTTGACAAATTTTTGTACCTATTTACTCTTCATGCAAATATACTTTAATATTTTTTTTACTTTTATATTCTATAAAGAAATAAAATATATTATCGCGAGCTACAGTTCCAAATTGGGAGGTTCCACAGAGAGGGAAATTATTTTTTAGAATTAACACCTGGTAAAATATTTATACGCAACTGGCAATTCCGAGATTAATTCAATCTCGATAGTCGATACCACAGCATAAAAATATCCATCGGACATCGATTGAAGATTAACAGAAAACTTTTTTAAAAGACGCCTTTTTCTGTAGATTTTTGAACTACGCACATTGCTTAAAATGTTGCAAAGATTAATAATTTGTATTAGGTTTCTGTTGATTGATTAATGTTATTGATATAAAATCTAGAAACGGGCTGAGTACTCGGTACTCGGCGGGTTTTTTGATCGTCCTCGGCCGAATAACTCCTTATACTTTATTTGATAACGAGTACACTATGTTTAAGAAAAATAATATATTGAGGTCATCGATCACTAATACACTATTATTAGTGATCGATGATTGAGGTAGATAAATTTAAAACAACAGTGTTAATCCAAAGGTATTAAAATATAATTTATTATTATTAGTAATTTAGCAAATCTTTGAAAGTTTCAATTAATAAAATCAAAACTATGCTAATGAATGAGTAGTAATGAGACAAAACTACGAGAAGACGAGAGCGAGCCGACATCTTGACAGGCGCGAACCTGTTTGTACGCGCGCCAAGTGAGAATTTAATTCAACCGGGATACTCGGCCGGGTACTCTAATAAAATCAATTATACTAGAGTAAGTTGTACCCTGGTAAATATGACATACAAGGACATAAAACATAATAAGACATTCAGATTTATTTGTAGCAAAAACAAATGTTTTTCAAAACTTAATCTTAGTAAAAATATTTTACAAAGATTTCTTTACGTTACAATTTATTATTATAGCCTTAACCTATTCAGTAGGTACACATTGAAAAGTTTTATTCAATTCCTTGAATATAAAAATATAGAGAAACAATCTGACATTTTAAAATAAATATTATTTTCACTGTTTTTTGAACTTAAGTATGTACAGAGTAATAAATTATATTATATTTGTAGAGCTTTAGAATACAATAGTAATATGTACTAAAAACTGTATATAAATAACTTAGAATTATTATTTACAATATATCATTAAGATATGATTAACGTTTAAACAGTAGGGAACTTCCATCCACCGAAACCCTTCTCCAATTCTTTGGCAACAGCTAAGCAGAGTCTATCCTGGTTTGGAGCCGCTATGACCTGTCATGTAATGGAGTGAATATTAGCAATAAGAAAGACCAATTTTGACAAAATTATCATGGGGGTTGATTAAATACTGTCTGTAGTGTAGTAGTAGTAGTAGATATTTAAAAAAAAAACTTTAACGGTTTAAAATGCGATATATATTGGTTAAACTTATTTGGAAAGAAAACCTCAAGGTGTCTTCTTTAAATAATAATCCATTGCAGCTTGACAAATTTGTAGAAAACTGTCAAGTTTTTTTTTTATCTTGTTTGTAATACAATGTTTAAGAGGTATTCAAGTCCTTGAAAAAGTAAAAAAGCCTCTTCTTAAGTTCTTAGCTATAATCTAAAAGTAATATTGGGTCATTTTGGGTAATACTTAAACATTTTAAACTCTTTCCCACCTGCATAGAAAGGGGCAGACCACCACAAAGGCCGCAGGGCACTGCGGTGGCGGGCAGCCCCAACACGTTGTACAGCATAGTGTACGTGACGCCCGACGTCCTGACGTACACTTCGCCGTGCCTGTGCGCACGAGAACTGTGGACCGGGTATAGGAGCACTCCATCGTCACCTAGCAGATCCTGTTTAACGAGATATTTACAATAAAACTTTTTATTTAGAATATGAAAATAAAAAAAATGGTGAAAGTGCCATTTTTCCATATGGTAAAAGCTATATCGATTTTCAGCCTCTTTATAACTAACTAAGCCCCATTTACTACATTATACTATTACAATAAAAAAATCCCAAAATCCCTGGTGCTATGCTCCAGTGAAAATATATAAAAGTAACACAAATGCGATGAGATGAAAAATAAAACAGGAATTAAATAAAGGGCCGTCCATATAACAACAATCGCCTAATTCCTTTGTTGAAAGGTGGTATAAACATAGGACACCACCGCATCCTAGATAGGTCATTACGTGTATACTTTTATTATTTTGTATTGTATTTCAAGTGTCACCAATTAATACCGGCTTCTAATGAAAACTTTCATAAATTTAAGTACCTACATATAAGCAAAACAGCAGAATGAATTCAAATTCAATCAAAATATTTTATCATTTAAATAAAACAGTTTTAACGGTTTAAAGCGCGAAATGTATTAAGTTAAACGTGAAAAAAGTATTTTTTCACGTTTAACGACCCGACGGGGGTCAAGGCAGCAATATTTTTCTCTGTTCGGCTCTGTTTCTTTTTGTTGCAAAACAGATGTGATGCGCCTGCATATAGAACCCACCTGTAAATGCTGTTTTAGTCGTTGGGTCTTTTCATAATAGTATTGTGTCCTGTTTTCAGGTATAAACAGATTCGTCTTGTGTATCAACGAGAATCCAAGACCTTGAAGTGACCTGCTTCCGCCACCGAACATATACTTGACTAGCTCTGTCACCAGGTTTTTGTCTTGCTGAAAAAGAAATAAAGAATAATAAGATAGAAATGTCGTTTTTATTGAACACAACACATATTGTTATAATGAAAAAAAAGAGAGATTTATAAATAAAAAACAATAAAGAATGTTACCCAACCTTAGGATTAGCCGGGTCTTGCAGCATGTTGGGGATATCTTTCATGGAAAAGAAAACTGATACCGACATCTCAACCGAATCTTCGAGATCTTCAAAATTGTCCTGAAAAATAAACAAATGCTTTTTTTCTAAATATTTGATAATTACCACTTAAACGTCGATTGTGATAAGTCAAATATTGTTGTTTACGCGGATAGCATATATTAAAATAAAACACTTTTACCGGCTTAAAATAAAAAAAATATCAGTTAAACATAGTAGTATTTGAACTAACACCCGATGTTTCGGATATTTTACAGCAGACGTACTCAGGGAGGGAAACCTAAGGGTTAAGATATTTCGTGTTTTAAACCGTTACGTAGAAGATTTATTGGAAGGTGGTCCACCCGAGGAGTTTACAGAAACTACGCTATCTTGGAATATACATACTTCAAGGCTTCGCAGCTGTCGAAGGAGAAAGAAAGGCCTCAACCAACCAAAAAATTTTAGCCAAAAAACTTATCTTCGCAATACTCACGTAACATAACTCAGCCCCGCACTGCTGGAGGTACTCAGCCGCGCTTCTGACCGTCTCCTTAAGACATGGCTCCACGTCGATAAGAGCGCAGGAATGTGTTGCTTCCGTTGCGTAAAACACCTAGAAATATAGGAAAACATTTTATCTGCATGTAGTTATTTTAAGCAATTTAACAGGCTCTTTTGTTTGACCCCCTCCCGGTCCAACATTTTTATAATCAATTTATACATTTTATAAAACATGTTGGGTTTCCTCTGGAAATCTGGACAGAAAATTGGTGGCAAAAATAACCAATTCCGTCCGGGTCACATTCAAGTTCAATTCGTTTCAGTTTTAGTCTGTGGACTTCCGAATAACATGGTCGATAAGCTTCACATTTGCCTCTCGTCCGCTATCATAAAAAAGTACTTTGTATAACGTTGAATTTTAAATGATTAGAGTTAGTTATGTGCATGCGCTTTGCATTACGACCCGTGCCTAGATTTTGAATTGGGCTAATCGAATTTGCCCAGCGAGGTAATTAAAAGTAATCGATAAGAGGTAAAAAAAATAAAGATTAAAATAAAATTTAAGGCGAATTACCCGAAGTTTGCTTATATCGACGGGTTGGTCTAGTCGCAGCTTTCGGCAGTTTTCCCCGCCCATGATGCTCATGAGTAGCGGTAGGTCCTCGGCATGTTTGCTCATGGGCCCCACCACCAGGAACTTGCTGTAGTTCTCGTCGGTCAATGTGGGTATGTGACCTTCTATTGGAATTATTCCTTAAACATAAAAATAATACATTATTGAATTTGAAATTACTTTGGGTAATTAAAAAAAAAACGTTTTTCGTCAGACTATACCTGGACTAGGTTTGTGCCCAAACACTCCGCAAAAGGCAGCCGGGATACGAATCGAACCTGCGATGTCCGAAGATACGCTGATTGGCGTTGCCCCACAAGCTAACAGTGCTGCCTGCATAATTATATTGTTAATGGTACTGAGTACCTTTTAGTGACTATGAGAGTTGATTGGTTTTTGGATCCCACAAGTGCACATACAAACTTTATTTTCTTTTATTGACATGACGATAAAAAAAATTAAAAAAGGAAGAAATCTCTAGTATTAAGTAGTACATAAGCGGTCCTTGTGAGAATCGAAGTGCATGTATAAACATTAGATCATTGTGTGTTCTACGCACTCAAGGCGCCGTATATTGACAATGTCCAATTACTCATAACATTGACATCGATTCCTAACTCAATAACAATTTACCTAACTCATAGCAACCTCATATGAGATCTACTTGGTACACAACTTAACAACACAAAGCTTTGCCTAAATTGCAAGTATCTTTGCGAAGTAGCTACGAAAGTTTACAATAAATGACTACATTAACCTGTAATTTATTTTCTATACAAGAGGCTCTACAGTTTTTTTTCTTACTAAAATAGGCTTATCTTGCGAAACCTTGTCAAGAATTATTTCAGTTCAGTTGCAGTTTGTATCGCAAGCGTTGCTTGAATCGGAATGTGTTCCCTGTCTGAGGCCGGAAAAAATTAAACAAGATTAAATTTGGGGTATCTTCAACTCAACAGATTAATGCGGAGAAACGGAGGGATATCATACTATATATGCTTTGTAGTGTATTACTATTGATATGTCGTAGTTATTATAACAAAATTAATATAATCAAGTTGTTATCATAACTTATTAATTACGTTATTAAACTTTTTCCATGTTTTAGGTGTTAAACAGAAAACGTGGGCTCATAAGTTGACTTTCCATTAGACTTACCTCGCCACCGGAAGAACCACCGGGCGTCCGATTCAAGCAGTACGGGTTATTCGTGGTTCCATTCAACAGATTCGTGCTTTCCCATCCCAAGCAGAGTTCTGGCGTGTTCGAGACGAGGAGGGGTATCGCTCCGGCTTCTTTCACGAGGCGAACGGCCTCTCCGTCTTTGGTGCACCGTCTTCCGACGAATTCCAAGCATCCCACAGCGTTTGATAAACCTAAAATGTCAAAAGTAGTAATTTATGTATGAGACAGAATTTTATATAGGTAATAGATCTAAAAATAGTTAAAAAGCATACAAATTATGAGGTTATTCTTTAAAATTCATAAATGTCAAACGAGGCAAAAACTAAGGGATCTAAATTTACATTTACTACTACGAACGAAAAGAACTGGCAACAGACTCGCTCTAGATAATATAAGTTTGCGATATCCCATTTAGTGAATTCAGTCGCCTTAGATATATATTTTTATGATATAAAACCAATTGATACGAAATAGCATGACCATTTCCAGATAAAGATTATTTCAAAGTTTTCAATATTGACTCTACCTTCCAAAGAACAACTCTCCTTGACTGTAAACGGAACACCTAAAAGCGGCCTTCCCCTGAAAAGATCTTCACCATTCCCGTCCTTGTCTGCCGCAGAAATCTTCCTATCCCACTCTCTCGCTTCCTCGAGGGCAGCTTTGCATCTGTCCTCAACGACAGCATTCAGAAGAGGATTCACTTCTTGGATTCGGTTGATGTGAGCGCATGTTACAATTTCGCTTGTAAGCTGTAAATGAAAAAATCATAGTTATACAATAAATATATAAAAGCCTGAGTAGCATCGATCTATGTCGTACGAGTTACTTTTACACGTAGGCAACATAAAAAGGTCACGTTTTCGACAGGTTTATTTAATATATAGGTACATTGTTACGGGAAACTGGAGCAATTTAGTACTGAATCATAGAATAAAACATCAGGGTGTCACCTATAGGAGCGAAAAAACAGAGAAAGGTACCAAAAATATGTATGAAGTAATGTCCGCGACAGTATATGTCTATCCTTTAGTATTTACTCGCAAGAACGACGGGACGTCATGGATAAGAGCTATAATTTATGAACGAAGTTGTTAAATAAATAATATGATGGACGCAGATAGTATATGACAAATTTATGACCCTCAATTTTTACATAGATAAGAAAGACGAGTATTTACAATATGGACAAAGGACATTAAGGGCTAGTGAAAAAAGAGAGTTATGAATACATTGACATTTAAATACAATAAGCAAACTGCTTTGGCACCTTTATAACACCGAATAAACGTGAGGTTGCATTATCCAAAACATGAATAGAACAATCCGTTATTATTTTAAAAATCGAAAATAAATTGAAAAAATTTTCGACTCGGGCAGGACATGAACCGGCATCGTCAGCTTTCCGTGCTGTTGCTCTACCAATTGAGCTACCGAGTCCTACACCTCATCGTCGAATTTTTTCAACTTATTGATACATGCACCTCTCGCGCAATGTAATTTCTACCTTAACACTTGCGTATTAAGGCTCAATGTCTTATGCTTTGCAGCTTAAGAAATCATTGAAGATGAAATTACAAAGTTATAACGTTTAAAAATTTTTTCAATTTATTTTCGATTTTTAAATTATATAGTGCCTTCATGTGCAATAACATGTGAAAAATATTAATGTTTTCAAACAATCCGTTATTGTTACGCTTTCTTTAATAATAGATTATCAAACTCATGTTTTGGTAGTTCATTCCACAAATAATAAGGTTGTAAGGTTAAGTCAAGCATGATATAACGTGGGTTCGATTTCCGGGATAAAAACAATTAATAATGGATTAAAGAAAGGCGTTATTTGTTTACAAAATAAAAATAAAATGTAGGGCAACAACTAACCTGTTTTTAATAATTAAACAGACAAAAATAACAACATTCTTTCAAGTTGTATTTAGATTACATTATCACAAACTTGTTTAAACGATCGCAAAGTGAACGTGCCGAATTTTTAATGTACAATTTATTTTACAAGATATAGGAAAAAAAACTTTTAGTTTAAATAAAAGCGTTTTAACGGTTTAAAACGAGAAAAATACATATTTTTTAATTTTCATGGTGTCTTGTTAAGGTGTGATATGCTTATCCTTATCTATGACATATAAATATAAATAATCCGATTATTAACACAAAGTACTGACTGATTTGCAGCCTCTTCCTCTTCCATTTTTTTATGATAGAGAAGGACAGACAAGTAGGGTTCACTCGATTAGATACCATACCATATAAGGTCCATATAACGTCTACGGCTTATTTTTGGCTAGTATATCAGTGAGCGTACCTCTCTGTTCCGTATAGCAGCAGCCAAATCTGTCGCACTCCGGAGTAGCAGAGGATCCCTTATCGGTGGCACTCGCTTCGTACTCCTCGCGCGAAACCAAAATACTGGTGAAAGCAGCAGGTTTAGGAGACGTAATATAATTCCCACTAGCCGTACTCCAACCTCCATTCTAAGGAATAACAATATAAAGACGTTAAGTATTTGAAGAAGATTAAAATTAATCAGAACTCAATGGTACAGTCTGCGTATCGTCGATGTTTTTTTTTCTCGTAAACACAACTGTACAGTGTACCAAAAGTCAGTACTGTACATCATTATATTTTTCGATTCAATTATAAACAACAAAGAATAAGAGTAACTTCTTTGAATCGGTAATTAATAGTATTATAATAAAACGGTTTACAACGCGAATTGTATTAGGTACTTTTTTTCAATTATTAATTAGAAAGACGGGCCCAAGATATCGAACACTTATGATACTAAGCATATTTAAAAGGCTAGATCGCAAAAAACGGAACTGATAAACGAGGGAACATCGTGAGTCAGTTCTGTATGTACCCAATTAGATTATAGAAATACTAATTACGAGGAAGCATATGGCCCTAGCGTAGCAGGCCACCGTGACCGCGGCGTCTACAAAAGCATCCAAAACATTAGGTACTTACAATAAATTAAACTTTGCGTTTCAAACTGTTAATTTACTAGGTTAAATTAATCACTACAAACTCCCTCTCGAACGTGTATAACCGCGAGTTGACGCAAACGTCAGATACGAGTGGTTCTGAACGAGACAGTTTAATATGATATCAGTGGAGCATCCCCGAGGTGGAAATGCAATTAATAAACCACACGTGTGGCCTGCGGACACGGTTTCATCACAGTTCTAGGCTGTATAATAACATTTACAGAGAGTTATATATACTTCAATATTATTTGTGCCGTAAGAATGAAATTACATACCAAGAGACAAAAATATTTAAAAAAATATTAAATTTGGTTACGGCAATCGTGTCTTGACATAACTTACCCGGCCGAATAACTCGGTTAAACTTTGTTATATTATAACGAGTAGGTATACTTTGTTTAAGAAAAGCAATATATTTAGGTATATATAATTAAACGAACAGTGGTAATCCAAATGTATTTACTTATTAGTAATTTAGGAAATCTTTGAAAATCTCAAATATATGCCTCGCAGTAGAAAGGCGTTGGAGGGGTGTACAAGGCGAGCCGTTGTCTTGACCGGCGCGAACCTGTTTGTACTTTTTTACGCACGCGAAATGGGATACTCGGTTGAATAAAATAAGCCCAGTAAAACTCGGCACTCGTTACTCGGCGCATCTCTAATAATTAATTAGTATAGATAATATGGATAATAATTCGTAGTTCGATCCCAATAATAATCGCAGATGTGTTGTATGCCATAGTATATTTTTAGCTCACGAAGTCTCAAGACCTACTTGTCATTCCGCGTACAATCGAGCGTTTCAAAAACAATAAATCCGATGTTGAACAGTCGATTAGGATCTGTTTGCGATGTGCAGCGGCAGAAGGTCGAACGTGATGCCCAAACGAATTGTGCTATTGCCCTATTAGGAGCGACGACAGCCTCGCAGCCGTCTCGCTGAGGTTATTTTTACTTGGTCTTATTGTCCTGTAGGAGCTTTACCTGTACTGTATAACAGGACAAATTTATTGTAAAACGCTAAAACACTGTAATTTTGAATAAGAGAATCGATACAAAAGCTAAATAAAATACTTAGGCTACATTTTTTATCATCCTGATCTTGATTTTATGGTCAGGTGAAACAGCCCAGCCATATAACATCTACAGAAGATACGCTGTCGACCTATTTTGGCTTTGGATATTCGGAAATCCACAGAACTAAAGCGGAACAATGTTAAAACCTAATTGCCGTTTTATAATCTGCGGAAGGTAGTTGAGTCTGACGGTTTTTCCATATTCCTACAATACATTTAAGTAATAAATATTATTTTTAAATTTGTACATAAAACAATTTTAACGTAATGATTAATATCTTTATTATAAAAAATTAAATAACTTATATCCTACAAATGGTATATTGCAGGATATAAGTTAATTAATAATAACAATAATATAGTTATACAAATCGTTTTAATTGCACTTAGTGCAATGGCGCTAAAAATGTAGTAGGAATGTATTTTTAGATCATAGCTCAGTAGATACATTTTAACTACGTATTGCCTACATTTAAGTGAAACATTTATAGCGTCTTAAAATGCGAAGTATATTCGTTAACTTAATTTTTAATTCATTTTAATTAGGGCCCAACCTTTCGGATGCCACGACTACTGCAAAACATTAAGAGTGTTTAATTTAAAAACATTTACAGGTGTGTGATGGGTTTAAATCGTAGGCCTTTCGTGCTCACCTCGATTGGATTGTAATGCAAGACAACAGAACTAAGGTGGTGGAGAAGACTTACGCAAAGGTAGGAATAAAAGTACAGTGATACAGCCATCGCAGTGAAACTGCGTAAACATCACCATAAAACCATATACTGTCGTTTTTATGAGGTTAAATATTTTTCTTTTGAAATGTCTCGTTTAGGGGGTAGTTAGGCAAGCGTCCACTTCTCGTGGGCGGGTACTGGCACCCAAACTCATTTGAGTTTAAAAGTTATCATGCAGTTGAAGTGTTGTCTAAACTTTTCTTTTGCGCAGGGCTTTAGCCTATGAATATGCAAACGGCAAACATGCCGTGGAATTGCAATTTTGAAGTCAAGATTTTTTTTAACTAAAAATCAACTCACTTACGTTGCTACGATGAACTCTGTTTGATGGGTTTTTAGAGCATGGACATTTCATTTTCAACAAGTTGCAAATTTATATTACAATATTATGCTAAATACAATTCTAGTAAAATTTTCCATTAGAATAGAATACGGTTAATTATTGTTTACCGGAGCCATAGCCAAGTTAATTATAACAAAACGATAACGAAAAATGTATAGGATGAGGTACGATATATTTTGGTTATTTGTTTTTCTTTACATTATACACTTTTACCGGTTTAAAATGCGAGATATTTTAGTTAACTTATTTTTAACATACCCGACCACGGCTGCTGCAAAGCATTAGAAACAAATGTTTCTTAAATGTTTACTATTCGCGTTAATAAAGACAATATCCATTATAAACTTTGAATATATTTAGAACCGATTAAAAGGCAATAACAGGGCAGGAAGCAAATAAATGTCCTTTTCACAAAGAAGTGTGGGTCCGTCTAGGTTCAAAGCGTCAAAGTGTAGAATTACGATCTCTCGTCGCTCGCAAAAAGGAATTTAAGGCGCCATGCCTCGGGTCTTTATGTCAAGTACTTCTTTGACAAGTCTAGAGAACCTTATTTTTAATTCACAAAGCTAAAAGTTAACTCATATTGCAAACGAGATAAGAATAGTTTTTTGTTCATTAATTTAACAATGAATAAATATGGTGTGGCTTGCATTCATTTTCTTATCTCTTCATGACACTGAGTCTGAGTTTGACGGATGAAAAAATGAAGATAAGTTCCTTGTGTTTTCAGATTGAAATATTTTTTGTATGGTTGGTCTGATAACGAAGTAGAAAATTTTTTTTAAACGCGGTGTTACAATATTGACCTCAAAGTGAATTTATCAAATTGTGATAACAATTACGTTATTGTATTATGTATATTTGGATATACTTGTTAGATAACTTGAGACAAACGCTGCCGTAAATCATAACATTAAAACAAACCGTTATAATTTGTTACGTTACAAATAAAGGACTAAAGGACTATTCCTTTGGTCAATTTCATTAAAACATATCATATATATAAATAGAAGTAGTCACATATTAGCGAATTTAATTTCAGGGATTCGAAGTTAAAGACTAAATTTTAAATTGTTTAACGAAGAGACGAGAAACTTTAAGCACAGGCGGTATTGAACCCGTGCCTAATCACAATTCAATATAGTGCATCACTAGACTTTGGATTTATTAGATATGTAAAGCGTTTCTAATACATTTTAAATATCCACAGATTCGTAAGTAGATGTCGAGAAATTTATATAATGACGCCTTAGTAATACAAACCCTTTATATAACACCAACAAAGAAAATAATACATACTTTGTATGACATAGTGGTGGTATGTTTGTATGCGATATATATCAAATAAAATTAATTTTATAGTAATGCAGTAGTAATATTTAACTATAAGAGACGAAACAAGTATGTAAAGAGAATTTGGAGTTTAATTCATGTGTTTATAAACGAAAATGTTATTATATTTGAATGAGTTTGAGTGTGTTTTGAATATAATTCATAATTCTCACGAAAAAAGTTATCATCATATCAATATGCACAAATTCAGTCCGCTTGATTAAAGCAAATGGTTAAAAATATTTGCATGAAATTGTATTAAAACCAAAAAATGTAAAATACTCACTTAATATCAATACAGATAAACACAAACAATTAAAAACTTTTTGTAAATGGCGCGAAATTTGACAGCCCGCGTCGCTGCAATGTCAACACTCGACTGCGATGGCGGGACAAAACTAAACGCAATTACGTCTGGCTTGCGAGTGATGGTCTTTTATTGAAACGTCTACGTTTTAAGTTAAAATTATCGATGGCATAGAAAATAAACGTGCATGAAGTATCTTATTTCAGTACCTAATTTACTGATACAGATTTTTTAAACCCGGCAATCATATTATTTCTATAATTGCTTTCAAGTGTAACTAAATAAATGCAGCTCATTTTTTTATTTGAGTTGGGTATGTACATGAAGCTCTTCCAAAATTTACAGGAAATAAATAAAACAAACAGTTCAAACAATAAGCCATGATTACAATTCCTTACCAATTAATATTTAATAGTTACTTGAATTAACTATGATAGTAGCGATAATAATAATTGGTGGGAATATCGATAAAAACTGAAGTATTTAATGCTACGTTATAAAAAATAATGTTTGGGATGAAAAATCATTCTTTTTCACACAATAGTTTTATTAGATTAGCGCAATAGATCGCGATATTTTTTTATATTCGATAAATTTGGCATTTATTAAAAACATTTAATTTTTATTTATCGAGTCCCAATTAAAAAAAAATATATATTTTCAAGTATCAGTATCATAGCTTCAAGTTTTAATTAGTTCATAGTTAAGTAAAAGTGGCTGTACTCAAACCAAACATTTACGATTCTATAGCCTATATCATCTTTGAGTAGAATTGGATATTTCTTCTTGTTTTTTTTTTTATTTCTTATTATTAAGTTTCAAATTTGCAGTGTTAGATAATGCTTGTGTAGAGCTTGGTACAAAAACGTCACTAGTTCATTTTACTGTTGGATTTCTAATTACAAGCGTTTAGGCGATTTTATCTTTTTCCGTTGTAATGGACCGAAACCACGTTACTATCGTCCTGAGATCCGAACCTAGGACTTCTCCTAATCAATAAAATGCTAGAGGCACCGCGTTTTACAACTAAGACAGTCGGTACGATTAGAATTGATACTTAGTAATTATACATGAAAAAAACACAACCTAAAAAGGATTTCGATCGCCTATTGTATAACGCGTAGAACCAAAACATTTGCAAAATAACATTATAAACGAGGAAATAATATCATTATATAATTTAATAAAAATGGTATACAAACTTTAATTACAATAAAAACTGGCTGAGAATTAAAAACTTCCTCATTCGAAATGTATGTTACATAAGAAATGCTGAAAAAGAACAATACGACTATAGAGACATTCCGAAAGCGATTTGTTTACAAAATTATAATTATCTTAAACGAAACAAGTTTACGTTGCCGAGTGAAAGATTAATTTATAGCAATATTTATAAGGATAAATAAGAATATTGCGCCATTTATTTAAGGGTCTCTTAATTCATACATTTATCCGTACGTGCATTTTTTGATGATAGGTTGGGTAGGTACTCGTTCCTTTCGATATCGATCACTCGTGAAGGTAAACAGCACAACTGCTGTCACGCATTCAAGAGTAATATTGAATGTCGAAGCACCAAAACAATGCAGAAGCAACAATTAAAATTGCCCTGAGAATCGAATGCATCGCAATCACGGAATGCAGTGGGGGTAGTACTTATCGTTTAACTTGCCATGTTTTATTGATTATGGAATTTTCCAGTCAAAATGAAGCTGAGGATAGATAAATAGTCCACGACATGTCAATTATTTAAGGCAAACGGTTTTTTACTCGTAATTGTGACGTAGGAGGGATGGACATTTTATAGGTGTTATTTATATTTGGCATCGAAACGGCTAATATGTAGTTCCTTAATCACTTACCCTGTTATAGTCGACGTACGCTTTAGACGTACTTCATAAGTAGTAATCCATTAAGCCGTTTAAAAACAAATAGTTCAGCAACATATTGATAGTATAAAAATAAATGAATTAGTTTTTCATGACAAAGAAGTCTTAAGCACCCATACCGGCACTTGGAATAAGCAATACGCGATAGGTAAAGAATTGTTCTTGTCACAAATATTGTAACCAAAGAATGTGAAAATACAAAATAAAGAAAAAAACATGAAAACTCACAACTAAACACGACCTTGCCATTGCGCCAAACTCCTGTTAAAATAAAAAAAAATAAAAATATTTTAGCAAAATTAAAAAAAAAAAATGAATACTTAGACATTTAAGACTTACCTTAAAAACGGCTATACCTGAAAAATACGACACATATCAATAAAAAAATCACATACTGGAATTTTAAAGTATTTTGTTGTAATTTGTGCCTATAATAATATTTGAGCACATTTTGCCTTCGAGGTTTCCGATTTTCAAGTAAAACAGATATGAAAGGTCAATGGACTAATACAAACAAGCCCAGGGAATCGATCAGCTAATACTCACCGATTCTAACCAAAACACGCCACTGTAAGTCCTTTCTATACACATTATATCACTTATTATCGACCATTACACTAATGAAGATCTTTTTTATAAGAACAATGTAGTTTACGCGAAAAACTGAATGTTATCGCAAGCCGAAACCACGAATTTGACAGACTACCGGAATCTCAAAGACAAGTGACAGTTCAAATCTGCGATTTGATTTAGACAATGTACACATGTCAGTGTCTATTTACTTATTAGATTTTCCATTTGCAGGCCACACACAATAAGTGGCAATATGACGAAAACTTAAATGATTTAGAATTTAGAGTAGGTATAGAGAATCGGTTCCAAATAAAAGTCACGCGTGTGAGAAACATTTAATTTGCAGTTGTAAAAACTGTACAAATCCTAACAAACTTACATATTATCATCTATTATGGACTCTCTCATGGCACTGCTGAGGACAAAAGCCAATAACTTGACGTTTTTCTCTTCTAGGTTAATTTCTATCAAATATGAAATAAATCGTACGAGTAGGGTCCTAAAATCGAGGATTGGCTTTTGACTTCATTATTGCTTTGCATAGACATATTTACTTGTGGACTGATATAAATTGGAAAAAAATTATTAAATGAAACGATTATGTCCTTAGTCTAGAAAAGGGAAATATGTGATTATGTACACAATTAGAAGCACCGTTTTTGACACACATTTAAAATGTAGAAATTTGATTTTTTACCAAAGGGATGTATCATTTATATCCATAATTAAAGTCAATTTTTAATCACTTATACAAATCCGTGTTGCCAGTTAAGAAAATTTTAAAATAATACACCCCAAAACACCGTTAATTCAACCAAGCATATCTGTTTTAAAATTAGTAATTGGTTCCACTAACTAGGTTAAAACATAAAAATAAAATAAGTTTGTCTACTTCACAATGCAAGTTTACATCATTGAATAATTATTAAAAAAAATATTATTAACAATAACATAGGTTCAACAATAAAATGTATTTAAATCAAATGTATATACACTAAATCTAAACTGTGTCGCTATGAACAAACATACACGTGAAACTTAGAAATAATTAGAAAGAATAACTATCAATTCACTTATTTGTAACGGGCGTTTTAAATTTTATTTGCATAGTCATTTTAAATAAAAAAAATCTTCTACAATAAAAAGGAATACATTGTATATCAAAAAGATAAAATAAAATTGTCTGTCTATATTTAAGCAGACAAAGCCAATATTCAAAAATTTGCATCTTCATAGACAATAGTAATTTATTCGAGACTTTGTTCTATAGTTTTTCAATATCTTTTAATGCCCGGAGTGTTAAAAAACTTTGAGTACAATAAGAAAACTGATACAGTGAATAGAATTATAAATAGTAAAATGCAATCAGACACATTTAATTCGTGAAATGCAATGAATTGAAATCCAAGCAAAGATTTGGCGCGAAAGTGAATAAATAAATAGAGTTCATGTACATCTCTTAACATTAGTACTATACAATTATTAATAAATAATATTATCAATTAATAAGGTCACTTTTTCATATATTTTTAAAACTGAGCAATTTTTAACGGACGCAGTCCATAAAGTGAAAAATACATTTTTAAATTTAAAAATTTATCCAAAATGGCAGATATGTCGGGGGTGGATAACTTGAAAAAGTGTTTATAAATTAAATATTTGGTTATTAAAAATACTAATAACAAAACATATTTAACTAAAACATGGTTCGGTCATTTAGTACAAGACATACAAAACCGATTACATAATGTGTAATATATATCTTGATGTCGCGTAATCGTTAGGTTGAATAAATAATTCGTTGTAGTACAACACCGACAATAAATAATATATATCTAGTAATTCTCAACGGCTGAACGCTTTCGTCTTACCACGAAACATCACGGGTATAATTCTTGGTAGAAGTAATTTTAGAATTAATAAAAATAGGGGATTCTATATCGACAAAAAAGGGAAGATTTCTTGTTGTCATGTAATTCGTTTACTCGTGAAACCGGCTAAAGGTCATTGGATGTTGTTGCTTTATTATTTAAATAACAGTTGTTAAATCTCGTGTATATTTTTTAAACTTTAAACTGAATTTATTTTTAACTAGATTATAAATAATTTAATATAAATCATATTACGTCTATTGCAGCCATCATTATAGTGGTAATAGATCAGTGTTTCCTATTTAAAGAACACCATGCTTTGCAACGCGGTTTTCTTTAAATTTCACTTTTGTGTTTTTTTTTGTGTTGCATGTGTGTCAGTATTATGTAATAATAGTAAAATTTCAAAACGGCTGCCAGAGGTTGAGTTTGCACATTTGCTGAACTGAGTTAACGAACTACATGACGCTATGATATAGTTTTATGCGTCGTTGAGTGGCGTGTGGCGACGCGAACTCATATAGGACGCGTGAAGTTAGCTGGGAACATCCCTTTCTCGTTAGTCGTCTCTTTGATGCCCATCAGCCAACCTTCCTCCTGGAATTGTAATGACATAATGATTAAAAAATGCATAAATACCACTGTATGTCCCTGCTATTCAAAACTTTCTTTGAAATTAAGAGAGAGAAAAAATAGGCGACCACAAACAAACAATTACGAACATTTTTTAAACTGAAATTAAAACACCTATATATACAGGGGTTATCCGTAACCACAGCTGCTGTTAAACATTCGAAACGGGTCGTTGTTCGCGTTTTAAACTGTTAAAAGCCATTTAATTTAAAAAAAGATTACCTGTTCATCGGGGTCATCGTACTCCACGACGCGAATGATATCTCCAACCTCGAAAGACAGCTCGTCGCTATCTTCGCGCGTGTAACGGTATGTTGCGCGTACGCGGTACAGTGTGCCCGCCGGTAGACCCGCTAGCGTTGCTCCTGAGGTATACAAAATACTGTTTAGTCTTAGTGACATACGATAGTTCTGAGAACGAATGTATAGAAAATTTTGCGATTGAGGAGGGGCCATCCGCTTACATAATAACAAAATCGATAAATGTTTCTGCCCTATTTACGGGCATTTCTATACCTCTTATGTCGAATCCAGTACCTTTAAATAGCGTATTTCGCTTAGAATATACTCGAATCCCATGAAAAATATCTTGGTAGCAAACCATGTACTTAAACAATACAATAAACTGAAACGCGAATGAGTTTGAATTAGAAAGGGATAATATGCTTTTTATAACGTTTGCGGTGGTAGTGGATACTATTTTGCCTATTATCTTCTCTTTGGAACCTAAATTTATTCTCAACTTACTAACTACCCACAATTCACTTAAAAATTTTATAATGGCTGTTAGTAAATTATTCTATCAAACATTAGTTCAATCAAGCAAAGCGGTTAAATCTAATGAAGCAGACATACATACAATATATATTTACAAAAACTACCCCGGCCTGAAATCAGATATGAACAATACATATTAACTGGTTATACCATGAGTATAATAAACTACACGTTATACCAAAAACATTAGTAGTAATCGAAATTTGTAATAATCATTTCGCTTTGAAGTCAAAAATGGATTTTTATACTAGTGTTACCAGTCATTGAAATTTCCCAACATATAATTACTTATATAAATGAACCAACACATATATACAGCCAGCACTTGTATGCGAACTCACCGACGGGTATGTCATAAACATCGTCACTCTTCACCCGATTGTCTGTCTCTTTCCCGTCAACTGTCTCTTTGTCTTTCTCTTCTTGTCTCTTTTCCTCCACGTTATTATTTATCGCCTCAGTGACCGGCGACCCTGAGGGCATTGCTTTCCTACATACTAAGGCTACACTAGCGCATACACTACAAAACCGTGACTAGTTCGTTATGAGTGAAAATAAGATATAGTGAAATAATAGAGGGGTAAAAATGGGAGTTGTCGGCGTGAAGAACCTCGAAGACCTTTGTAAGTGTGTTTCGTTCACAGCTCCGCATAACAAATCTATATACAGTATCGCCTAAATAGTCTAAAGTAAAAAGGGAATCAACAAATAATACTTACTACATTCACAGCTAACTTGGTTGGATTGCCGATTTCTTAATTAAAATACCTAAATAAGATTACTACAATTACTTGAACAGATACATACGTGTATATGAAACCCCCCTTATAAGGGGGATACTCACCGACTGGTATGTCGTACAATTCCTCCACCTTTTTGTCGTCTATGTCTTTCGCGTTTGTCGTCGTATCGTTGTGTTCCTTGTGTCCATTCATGGGGGGCGAAGGCGCGTCGTTAACCGGCGATTCGGACTCGCGCGGAGTTTGCGGCGAGTCTGCCGCCCTGGGCGTCGGCGGGGACTCCCGGGGCGGGCTCGGCGAAGGGGGGGAGGGTGGCGCTACACACAGTCACGAACACTTACACACACATGCCCAAACGATTTACTATAAACAGCAATGCCCTTTTTAACGTCATATCATGAGACAACCATGCGAGATTACGCGAGTCCGGTCAACTTGACGAAGTGACAGCTTCAACGGATCAAAACACGGTTAATTTGTTATGTTTATCAATGAACATTTATTCAATAGAATAAAAACTTGTCTATCTATACCCAAGAGATGGAAAATAAACAAGGTTTTACCAAAAATCTCAAACAGAAAGTTAATGTGTGAGTCATTCCAATTGTTGTAAAGTCGTGGGCACATGTAAAAGTAAAACAGATAAAACACTCAGATAGGACGACAAACTGTTTTATCGCTGTCGCTATAAACAATTATGGATTGTGAGTCATACGCACATTTTACAAAAACACTGACAATAGTATGTTACTGGATTAAATTTGGTTTTGAATGGTTGTAAAGTCTCTTGTGAGAGTCGCTAAAGTAAAAATTGAATCAGCAAATTTAAAATCGATGTCCTGGAAAAAGATTAACGACGCGGGCACGACTTGAACCGTCGTAGCACCGCAAGTGTTAAGGTAGAAGTTACATTGCGCAAGAGGTGCATCAATAGGGTGAACAGAATTGAACACGGTTGTGTAGAACACGGTAGCTCAATTGGTTCTGCAAAGTTCTGCACGTGTCGAAATTTATAATCGATTTTTAATTTAAATAGTGCCATCATGTGCAACATATGAGGAAAATATTAATGATTTTAATTGAATATGTAATTCTTTTTTATAAAGGCCAAGAGCGTTTACAACCACCAAACAATCAGTATGGTAACCAACAGTCAATCGATTGATAATCGATAACTCACTCTGCACGGTGCTGGCCGGCGAGGGCGGGTTTCCGTTGTGCGAGTTGAGCGTGGCACTCTTGACCACATTGTTCGGGGCCTTCTTGTATGAGCCGCGCTGTGAGTCCGTCGCCAGTTTGTCCGTTATCGCCTCCAGCTCCGCGAATACCTGGAAGTTTGCGAAATCTTATATAGAGAGGCAGATCAAGTAAAGAGTCCAATACAAATAATACTTAGTTTTTTGAGGCTTTTCGTTTAAAACATATTTCGTTGTTAGAACACCTAGTACCTGGGTAAAATAGGAAGCGCGAAAGCCATATATAATATGTTCTCTTTTGGTGTATGTATTATAAAGATACACTGACTGATTAATGATTATTTTGTATATGGGCGTGGCCTATTCACCAGCACAGTTATTAACCAATAGGGACATATGGCATGTGATTGAACGTTTTTGATTCCTTGCTCTTAGTATCAATTTAGAGATTTAAATTTCCTACAAACTTTAAAATATACACGCTACAAGAACTAAAATATACTTTTGTTAAAATAAACACTTTAAACGGTTTAAGATGCAAAATTAAATAACTTATTTATCCCTCTCAAATAAGTTAACTACTATATTTTACGTTATAAACATTTTATTTTGTTAACCTGTCACGAAAGGAAATACTAGAAGCTTTCATTCTTAATAGACTACACTTCGAAGTATACCTTCGAGCTCTCGGAGTGGAAGAGCTGTTCGGCGGAGAAAAGCGTCTGAAGGTTGTTGACATAGAAGAGAACGCGAGAGTCGAACAGCGCCGGTAGCTCGTCGTGCAGCTCCGAGTTGAGAACCTCGTACGTGCGCTTTGCCTCCTCCAGCTGTTCGCGGCCTCTAGTCACCTGGAAATGATATATTAAGTAGGATTGTCTAGAACTATGAATTGCAATAAGCAAAGCTAAACAGGGATTAAATTTTTGGTTTGTAGAAATAATATTCTATATATGTGTTTTTATTGGAGTGTAAGCATTTATAACACACTTTGACGGTTCAAAACGCGATATATATATTAGTTAAACTTATTGGAAAAATATTTTTAACTATGGCCCGACGTTTCGGATGCTTTCCAGCAGTCGTGGTCACTGGGAGACAAAAATAATTTTCAAATAAGTTAACTAATATATATCGCGTTTAAACCGTTAAAATGTTTTATTTAAAAAATGTCTCATTAAATATTCTTGTGTTTCTAGTAGCCCACTTTTGTATTTTTAATGTTATTGACTATTTAGCTTGGAGATAATCACGAAAACAGTTAAATTTATCTCAGAATTCCTTATAACAATATCTAAATAAGTTGTAGAATTGTACATTAATTGAAAGCGAAAACGGTAATAAATTGGTTGGTTACCTTGACGTCGTCCCTTCTCTTGGTCGCATTGGACTGCAAGTTCTGGAAACTATGCCTCTGACTGTCATAGTCCACTAACTTGCGCCCACGCTTCTCGACCTTTTTCTGGAAAACGCAATTGGCATCCGTCAAGATTACTGTCATAATATTGCCACATCGTTTTAAACGAACAAAATTCAGTTAAAATCTATATAATCATATTAATTTTTTATTTAAATAAAACACTTTAAGGTTAAAACGCAAAGGTTACTTATTTGGAAATGATTGAGATGCCGTACCCCTGACCACGGCTGCTGCAAAGCATCCGAAACGTCGGGCCGAAGTGAAAAATCATTTCAAGTTTAACAATATATCGCGTTTTAAACCGTTAAAGTGTTTTATTTAAATGTGTACTACTCGCTAAACTATAACAGTATTTAATCATCTTAAAAAAAAAATCTGCCTTAGGATAAAAATTTTTGGGCATGGTAGCTCAATTGTGTAGAGAAACAGCACGGAACGTTGTAGATGCCGGTTCAAGCCCTGTCCGTGTCGTAATTTTCTTCAATCTATAATCTATTTTAAAATGTATATTTTTGATATAAAAAACACTTATTCACTCATCTTATCAAATGAATGGTCGTTGCTCTGTACTTGCAAGTCAAACAATAAATGCTGTAGTTAACTCCTCCAAATAATTTTTACTACTTTTACTTGAACCGAAACTAGACCCAATTCTATATCTAGTATTGGCTCCGTACAATGACGAGACTTACCCTGACTTCAGGAAACTGGTTGGTGTAAGTGTTGAGCGGGATGAGCACTTGGTCACCGAGCTTGTGCGAGAAGTCCTGCCACAGCATCTCCATGTTCTGAGCCTGCACATAGAGCAGGTCGTGCCCCGACCACCCGCTCTCGTACACCTCTGTGATCGCTTCCATTAGCGACTTGGACGCGGTTTGGGCGGCTGGAAATCGTTGGAAAATGTTCTTAGTGTTTTACCTAACTTTTATCAACAAGTAACAGAATTTAACCTAAAAAGTGAAATTATATTAACTTGCATAAAGTAGTAAGCTATTTCGATTTAGGATAAATAAAAGTACTTATTAATTTGTTTATAATTTATACAAAAGGGAAAGACTGCCTCAAGAAACTCTGCACCTTTGTGTTGAAAAAAAATGTCTTTAAGTCAAAATTAAGTACATTACGTACAATTCTACTCCTACAAGAATTTATCCGGACAAATTGTTTTATATGTCCGTCTAAATGTTACACTTTTCTAGACACAATTTTTCTAATAACTTATTATAACTTCAACTTTTAATATACTTTTCCACACACCTCGTATACATCTTATGTAATTGTTGAATTCCTTCTGAAGCCGCACCGCCTGTTGGTGCTGTCTGTTGAAGTTCTGGAGGTGCTCCTCGAAGATGTCGTCTAGGGTCCGATCAACTTTGCCCAGGTTCTGGAGTAACTGTAAAAACAATAGAACGTCACGCCATTGTGCTTGTTTGGGAGTGTTGTCGTGGACTGTTTAATTTGTTTAATTATTGCGATAAACACTGTCTATAGTTTACAAGAGTAGTACACAATACACATTTAAATAAAACACTTTAACGGTTTAAAACGAAACACGTTTCGAATGCTTTGCAGCAGCCGTGGTCACGGGGAGACTAAAGATGGAGGATGTCTCTGACGTCAAATTAAAAAATTGCTACGCTAGCGCCATCTGTTCCGTCGAAGTTGGTATTTGGCGAAACTGGCCGGGTCCTTACAGAATTGACTAACGGTGTCTTCACGTTTGCCGGTATGCTGTTTATCGGGATCCAAAGTTTTCAATATGAGATCTTAAGAATGGCCTTTTTCTTTTTTAACTGATGGTGTGAGCATTAGTGACGTGGGGATTTTGGTAAATAGTACTACGACCTTTTCTGAGGCGATAGTCGACCAGAACCACTAAACACATCACCAGTCTTGCTCGCTTGCTAATCTTGCCGAGCTTGCTTTTGAGGGAGCTCGGTTGTACGACTCCAAATCTCTTAACACCAACGCCCAATTCAGATAAAGCTAAAGTAAGATAAGGGGAGATTTCAAAGGCGCATAGCGTCGCCTCCTTGATCCCAATTTTACGAATGGTCTATATATTTAACACTATTTTCTAAGAACCATCCCTTTGCATAGTTTTGCTTTAAGGCGACTTCAATAAATATATTATAATAGTATCACGTTGATATTGAAAAAGTACTTGCTACAGGAAACCGCAAATGAGATTGGCTTTTACAGTTAAACAAGATTCAAGTGAAAAATAATTTATTGTGTTTAATATTTCTCTTGTTTCTGTTTGGAGCGTGTCATATTATAACGGGTAACAGACAACGGTTTTATATATTACAAGCTACTGTGCATTAGAGTACAGTGTATATGTTATATGCTAACTAAAAGAACAACAGTTTTATTGGTAAACCTATGACTTAATTACACTAGAAAACCGCCCAAAATATTTAAATAAAACATTTTGAAAGGGTATAAAATGCGAAATATATTAGCAACTTGTTTTTTATTTAATTACGTCCCGACGATTCGAATTGTTTGCAGCAGCCGTAGCCATGAAGGGAAGTTAACTAATATACGTATTTAAAATCGCTAAAAGTGTTTCAAAACAAAATCAAAATCAAAACAACAATTTTGGTTACAATCCAAACGTAAATACGTGTAAAAAATCAATAGCGATCTGATAAGTCAGAATGGCCGATTAGTTTATAATCAATCTAGAGGTAATGACACATGTCCGCGATACAACAAAAACAATGCAAGGTCAATGACACTGTGGATCCACTTGTTTTATATTCATATCGTTATCGAGTGTCATAATATGGAATTGTTATGGCGGGCGAAAAATAAAGGAGTGTTTTGCTAAGGTTTGAATGAATGATTACAATGCAATGATTCATTTTATTTTGATAGAAAATCACAGTGAAACGTCGGGCCGTAGTTAAAATTTTACAATTAAGTATAGCCCATATGATTCGCGTTTTAAACCGTTTAATTGTTTTGATGTGAACTACAGACAGTATTCAATGTTAAAAAAGGCAGTTATATACTGGAAGGATAACAATTCAATCGTCAGGTTTTACAATTTTACCAGTTATGCCGAATTCCATCGTTCAATAAATATAACAATCACTCAAATTCGATTATCTTCGGATTAGGAACAGTGATTACTTAAAATTTCCAAACATTTAAAAGTATTTATAGACTTGTTCGTGCTAATTAATTCACAACGTATCATAATTAATTCGCACAAATAGGTTGCAGCGATAATGCGATAATTAGGCTAAAATTATAATTGACAGCATAATAACACTGTGGAAATTCAGTTACATTACAGATTTAAAATCAAATAAAGTGAACTGATTTGTAACGGTAAAAATGTATGGCAAATCAAATAATAATCAACGTGTCGTGGGTTCGAACATATTCCTAGTCATTTTTTGTCACAATATGTTGGACATGACTAAAAGACTTTTATAAATCAGTAGGAATATCGAAATTGCGCCCGGGTCACAAACCGTGGTGTTTTTACCGTGTTTGGACACAGATGAAAAAACCGTCAAGTTTAATATCGTTTCGGTTACAGTCTGTGGATTTCCGAATATCCAAAGCCAAAACAGTCGACAGCGTAATAAGGTGTAACTATTTGCGCATTTCCTCCGCTTGCCGCAGCGAGGGGTTTTGAACTATTCGCTTTCTTGAAAAATATAATTAGTTAATAACAAACGTGTTTACCACGTGTCAAAAAGCGAGACAATTTATGAGCATCGAAGCAAACGTTACGCAAAAAGCGAGAGCAAAATATGTCTTGGAAATGTGAATTTCGTCAAGGTCGCGTCTTTGACGTGAAAAGGATGCGATTAATAAAATGTTCCTGCTAAATTCGGATTGTGGAATGCGTCTTTGAAAATATATCTTTACTGACTATGCGTCTATAGAATACTACGACGTTTATAAACCTTTTACCGACTTAAAACGCGAATAATTTTAATTAAGTAATTTTTAATATTACTTCAAGTATGAAGGCCACAAAATATTTTTTTATTACCAACTATTACATATTTTTTTCAGAACAGTGACTACCATAAAATTCACTTGTTATTGGGCAAGCTGTAGTCGTGAAGATTTTAGCTACGATGCGTAGTCTACCTAATTTTTCTATGCAAATGTAAGAGTATTGTTATCAAATACGTATTTAAATCCTAAGATTAGGTAGTGATACATATTCAATAAAATATAGCGAAAACATGATATTTTATTATGTAAACGAAGGTTAAAACGTCGTTTGTTATAAAATGCTATTGGAGTTGAGTTCTCATCAATTATATTTCCTTGAAGACGTAAGCCACGTCCTTTTAGTCTGCCATGAGGTAACCATATTGAATAATGATCCACATCGTTCATCCACCCCAAGAGAAACAGCATACTGTGACTTGCAGCAGGCCGGTATTACGGAACAGCTATGTTAATGAATGCTCCATCGGCTAATTATATGCGAAAACAATCTCCACAACAACCAACAATCGAGTGTAACAGGCGTATCATTACAGCAACGAACATCTATGACGTCACGTCCGCCGTTATTTCCTTTCGTTTTCGATTGTCTTTGACCGAGACTTCCAATTACTGTATAGTCTTTGCGCACGAGGCATCGATTATGGTACTGTACATTACAGCATTGATGCAGTGGTAGCTGTTTCACCATCGCGAATGCATGGCATCATCAGATGTTAGGCGCTCTTCTAACCAAGCGAAGACTGACGAGAAACATTTGTCAATTACGACGATCGGACAGCTACAAAACCCAAATAGCTTTGTATAATGATTGCGATTATATTATATTATGCATTATTTAATCCATTAAATAAAAAATAGATTATTAATTGAAAAAAAACGACACGGGCAGAACTTGAACCGGCATCCACGGCGTTCCGTGCTGCTGCTCTGACGAAACGAGCTACTAAGTCCTACACATCATCGTCGAATTTTTTTAACTTATTTAATACATGCACCTCTCGCGCATTGTAATAATATCTATTAAAAGTTAACAGTGAATGTACTAAACGTAAACTAGCTATAGCACAAATGAAAGAAAAAAAAACCAATTAAAGTCTAAAAACGTTTCTTCCTGCATTTCCTAATAATTGAAGAGAAAAGGTATATTACATAGGAATACGTATTAAGGATGTTGTCGATTAAAGTACCCGAAAAACACGATATCCGGCAAATGATACGTTTAATTATTCATAAATAGTTTTTGAGCCACATAATATATTGCTTAGAACAAATAAAACTCAAGTACATTTTAAGGTTAATACGGTTTTCACTTGTTTAAATATACATTACAGAGGTAATATAGAAGTTGTAGATAGAGGATTAAAAATAATAATAACGCGAGGAGACTGACAATTGCATTTTCCTTTTAAAAACTAAATGAAAATCAGTTTTTCCGTTTGTGCATATTTGATTGATAGTTATCTACATACTCGCGATTTTAAAATGCATGTACAATTAATAGTGAACGGGTAAACTTTTATGCGAGTGACTTTTTCGTGTGAATTTGTTTTACTTACCAGAAAGTAATGGTGGGCAAAAACACAATATTATTCAATAATTTCTTAAAGTATAATCTGTTTTCGAACTATTAAAGTAAGGTTTTTGAATTAATCTTTTTTTACCTATACGAAAATATATTATTAGTATTAGTAGGTACTTGAAAACTTTTGCTTAAAAGCTCTTAATCAATTTCGGCATATATAAAAAGTACTTTAATATGTTGGGATTAAAAGTCCCAAAGATTTGAAAGCCTTTTGGAAACTGGCAATAACCCACCTTTATTGGCAGTATCACTAACTCAAATATAGATTTGAGAGAAAGTGAATCCAAGAAACACTCGAAGTCGAGTGCACCGTCTGCACGCAACGGAATCGATTCGCTTCTCCATTTAGACATTTTTCGTGCGACACGTGTTTTTGTTGCGCATCTGCTTAATGTTCTGCTCGCTGATTAGATACGTTGTAAATAATACTAATTCAAATTTATTCATTATAATAACAATCGATTTTTATGATAGAGGAAGACGAACATTTGTTCAATTTATTTTCGGTTCTTGCATTATATTAGTATATATTTATTAATTACACGGTTTGATTTTGTTCGGCATTTCTATCAATTTGTTAAATTAAAAAAGTAGTTATAGTGTCGTAAATACAATAGTTAGACATATGGTCTCCCAATGTTTTTTGTAGATATTGATATATTCTATAATATTGTCAAATATTTTTTGTCCTATCATAAATACTTTTCGCAGCGTATGCGATGAAAGATATTTTTTGGCTAATTTTTTTAAACCAACGGCAGTTGGTTTTCCTAGACATTTCTAAAGATTTATATCGTAATCTACTACTAAATATAGCCTATTTT